TCTTTGCCCTGCTAATCCGTCGGATATGTGCGTGGTCGGTGCTCGGCCAGTGGTGGGAGAGTTGGCACTCCTGGTCTAAGCCGGCTCTCGGGTGCGTTTTTTCCCCTGCCTTGGCGCCTGTCACAAAAGCTCGCCGCTAAGAGCCATCGCAGAATGGTCAGGCCATAGGCCACCGAGCGGGGCAGCCATGTCAATGGCCCCCTGACAGCCATGAGAGCACTGGCCAGGGGCGAGACCCACAGGTCAATCATATGAGTTCAGGGAAATCAATAGAGTAACAGCCTCCTCCCTCTCTTTGGGTTATTGAAGATATAATTCCGGGAATCATTAAGCAGATTCTGTTGATGTTCTGGCAAACCATGGAAACCCAAGAGAGGTCTGTAGTTCTCGGAAGGTTTCATCGGAAATGAACCAGACCTCATCAGAGTTCCCAGTAAGCTTCAATCTCTATGAAATTTGTGAATTATGTGCTTCTTAGATACATTTTCCCAGTCCCCAATTCCCGAAAGTACTCTTCTAACAGCATTAGATGAAAATTCATTTAGTCCTTCCGTGAAAGCCGCAGCCCTGCCGTTGGGTAGGCAACCCTTAACCCTTCGCAGTCCCCTGGCCGATCCCTTTTTAGGCCATCTTTTTACACCTTATACCGTAAGTAAACAATCTGCGCACTTCAGTTTCCCAGCAAAAGAAATAACTGGACACACAATTTACAAGCCGAAAATCTCCGACAGCTTACAAAGAAATTGTTTGCGAGCCAGCGACCAAAATTGAAGGCATAAAACTTAATCGAAAACTTTTTTAGGGACACTCGTTGGGGGATTGGGGATTGGGGATTGGCGGTTGGGGGTTTGTCATTCCAGGTGTCGTCTCGAGGTGTCCGTCCGGCTTCTGTCCCTGCAATGAAATTAATGCACAAAGTTTGTTGTGTTCGCTGCGGCCAAAAGAAGGAAGAACCTTTTCGAATTTGTAATGAGCAACAACTTTTTCTTTTTCCCGCTTTTCCTTTGGCTGTTCGTTAGGTGAGAAGCTGAAAAAATTTGATTTGAATTGAGGGCCGGCAAAGGTAAAAGTTTTTAAATAAAAATTAAAAATTGTCAACGCGTTAAATTAGGGTCCGAAGTGGTCCCCCAATCACCCCCAAAAATGGGGAGGCAGAGAGAGAGAGGGTTAAAGTTGAAATTGAAATTGAATTGGGGTTGAATGGCGGCGGCATCGGCGTGCCTGCAGTTGACAGAAGGGGACACCGGACGCCGGACTCCGGCCTTCGAAGTCCGCCAATATATTGGGGGATTTTCCATTGATATCGCTGCCGTGCAAGCAGCCAGCCCTCAAAGGGAAACTTTCAATGCCGCACCCTGGGGATGGGTGAGGGTTTAAAGTCATGTTTCCCCCCCACACACGACTCATAATCTCTACGGTAATCTTTTAATCCAGTCGAGTGAATTTTGTAGTCGATTGTGAAACAAAGTTGCCAAAAGGCAGCCCCAGCCCAGGTCCAGGCCCAGGCCCAGGCCTGAGTTAACTTTCGACAGCAGCTAAACATGTGAGAGGAGAGCTCCCCGGCCATCCCCCATCCCCCATCCACCATTCTGGACTTGCCATTACATTAAGCCCGAAACTTTGATGTCATCTCTGTGCTTAGGCCCCCCACAAACAAAGTTGCGCTCTAAAAAATAACTTTTTTCATAGTAATGGACTTTAGTTCCACTCTCCCAGAGAGTCCACTCTCTCTGTATTTTTTCGCATCCACTTCGAATGTTTTTCAGTGTAAGCCCAAAGGACTTCTGGCCCTGTTGTGGGCAGGTGGAAATGTGAAATGTGTGGCTCCAGAGCTGGCAAAAGTTATTTCCGCTACAAATGAACACGAGATGCATTTTTTCAGCGTCTCCCATCGATATGGGGACCCGTGCCGTTCCTTGGTCCCAGCTCCTGTGTCCCGTGTCCTGTTTCGGCCTGGCACTTAGCTGACTGGCAGACAGTGTGTCTGCCTGACTGAATTGTGCCCCTCTGCCCACCCCTTCATGCCCCACCCCGTGGCAGGCATAAGCCGCTTAGCTTTTGAGCAACTTTGAGCATGTAAATGGCTGACGAATTCAGGTATCCAGGTATTTTTCCACATTTTCCAGGGAAATCTATTAAATATGATGTGACAGACAGCCCGCATTTGGTTGAATTATTTTTCGAGAATTTATTCAATGCCGAACAGAGTGGGAGAGAGAGAGAGATAATAGTCCTAACCAGGGTCTTATCCTCGCCCATATTAATCATACGCCCTGCACTCCATTTGCGGAGAAAAACCAACAGAAACTTAAATCCCAGATCTCTCAATTCTTGGCAAGCTCTCCATAAAGAGGTGGCTCCAAGGGGCAGAGGGAGATGGGGCTAGGAGGGTGCCCCAGTGCATAAACCAAGCTCTAATGCGCCAGCTAAGGATACAAATTACGAAACAATGACGTCAACGTGCCTGTCAACAACTTGGCCAGACAATAGTTTTGCCCCAGGCAGAGGCGAACAGACAGACGGATAGACACACAGTCGTACGGAGAGAGAGACTGCAGAGACGGGGGCGGGGGAGGACGAAACGAAGGTTGGGCGACAGGTGCAACGGACATTTCTGTCGCATACATACAAATTACGTGCGAGATTATGCCGAGTCCGGTTTGGACTTAGGACTAAGAACTTCGGCCGGAGGTCGGGAGTCGGAGGTCGAAGGAAGCTCGGAAGCAGCACTAGGAAACTGTTGAGTTTTCATTGGTGGCTGCAGCACGTACAGAAAATCAACAGAAAACTAAAATGCCACCGATGGCAGCGTGACTCACGATCCCACGAAGGCGAACATCTTGGAACATCTTTCACAGTAGTTTTCGAGTATTTTCTTTGTTTTTTCAAGGCTTAAACATAGCGCCTTCATTCATAGCCGTAAAGCGCTTCACCTATATAATATTTCCCACATTCTATTCCGATAAACGACCACCATTCCTAATATTCCTATAATTATAGAACCTTTGATTAGTATTTGTGGATCGCATATTTCGTATATTTTCATGTCTCGCTTTTCCTAAACAAACATTCTTCAAGCTGGAAATGAATACCTTAGAACTTCCGGCAACCATCTCTAGCAAAATTCACAAAATACGAATTTATCCCCTAATACCTCCATACTCATTCTCCTGCCGGTTCAAGTTCACATGGAACAATGCCAGGACGAAGCTTTCGCTCCGCTCCAAAGGGGCTCCGAGGAGGTACCGAGGTGATAGGTGATAGCTCCGAGAGAATGGGATGGGCTCCGAATGCCTCAAGTAGAATTAAATGAGCTCAACATGCATTTAAATGCAGCCTGATTTGATTACCAGCCCTGGAATCCCTGGGGCTCCTGGGTTCTCCATTTTGAAAGTGAGAGGTTGGTTAGGAGTCCCCGCTGGCATTTCTTCCTTTGCCATTTGTTCTCCTGCCATATCTTGTTGGTCTTCTTGTCACTCTGTCATCAACAATTGTGCATTGTGGCACGCCAGACCGACAGCGGTGCCAAACGCACGGAAAACAACAGCAGCCAAAGGTGCGAAAATTAATATTTGCCCTGAAAAACAACAGCCACAAGAACAACAACAATAGCTGTCGAGGAGAGAGAAGAAAGCGGTGAAAAGTAAGGGGGGTGGGAAGAGGAGCTCTGTACAACAATTGGGAGCAACGAATGCATTGTCTGCCTGAGCGCGTGCCTCGTAATTAATTTCCTTGGAAGGGCACCAGAGCAGACGAGGGCTGGCGAGTGGAGATTGGGAGTGGGAGAGTATTGGAGACTGAACTGAACTAGTTCCCGTTCTCCATGAGCAGAAGTTTGGAACAGAAAAGAGTCTTTAGAACTGTAAGTTTTAAGAGTCCTCGCTCTTGGCTATATCACTTCAAATATTCAGAGAATTTATAAAATATATCCCCTTTTTTTGGTATTCTAGGTGCCCGATTTTCCGAAAATGATTATATTTAATAATGGTATTTACAATTTCTTTATATTTTCAGAAATAAACCAAAGAACGGAGCACCAATGCCCGCGAACTCGGAACCAGCCCGAAGTCTAGTTCCATCGAGTCCTTGGAATGAACTCTTCTGCCTTCTGGCTCGCAGACAGCCCGTCCGTTGCTTCATCACGCACTCTGCCATTTTGCTGGTTTTAGATCAAATGCATCTCGCGGCTCAGTTCGGGGTTTCGCTTCGGAGCAGCATTGGGGCAGGAGTGGGCCGGATAAAAGTGGAGTGGCAGTGGCAGTGGCTGTGGGCCTGACAGTGGAGTTGCTTAGCAGCGGCTGAAGGAGGAGTGGCATTGTTGGTGGTGCTGGTGCTGGTTCTGCCCTGCGGTGGCTCATTGTTCGACTGCAGCGCGAGGGATACGCATGTTAGTGGCAGCCGAGCAGTCGGGATTTGATTTTCGAGGAGTCATGGTGCCATGGAGCCATGGAGCCATGGAGGAGCCTTTAAAGTGAGAGGCTGGCTGAGGCTGAAGCCTGAATGCCTCGCTCGGCTGAAGGCTTAAGTGCACGAGGAAAGGGGCAGGCCGAAGGAGAAGGAGAGGGAAGAGGAAGAGGTTAAGTCTTAAGACTTGGCTTACTCCTGCTTTTGACTGACTATTTGGATGGCTTATGCTTTTGGCCACATGATACTCACTAAAGTGCAGTTTCGAGAACTTGCCATTAATTAATTTAATGAACTTTTGCCCCATCCGGCCGTCAGTCAGTCCGTCAGCCAGCCCCGTCAGTCAGTCCGTCAGTCAAGTGCATAAAAGCCTTTGGACAGCTGCATATCCAAATGGGTTGGACAGCTTTTGTTCTCGCCGAGAGTCTGTGTGCGGCGCGGGGCGGTGGGCTAAAAGTTGTTGCAAATAGAGATTGATACGAGTAGAGCAGGGTAGGGTAGGGTAGGGTAGGGTGGGGTAGGGGAGGGGGATTTCCGAGTGGAGGCCCAAATATATCTAATGAATATTCCCACATTTCGGTGGAAGAACAGATGGCGCTTCCATTTGGCTCATTGTGGCACCACAATGGCAATCCATTAACGACATTCCATCTGAAATGATTCCCCATTATGCTTATGATATAATGACGCCGCCCCCCAGACCAAGGAAATCTCTCCGCATTTCACCTTGATGTCGACGTCGATGTGGCACTGTCGATGTGGCACTGTCGATGTGGCACAGAGCCGCATGTTCATAACGTTGTCGCACAATTAAATTCCATCCGCAAAAGCTTTCAACTGCACTTTGGACCACAAATTATGGCCAGCCCCGCACGGCTTTGCTCCCCCGAGCATTGAGGTCCTTCTATGGCAGAACAAATGGTCAAAAGCGGCTGCCAAATGTCGGCCTACAAACACACACACACTCACACAGACAGTCGTCTATGTATAGGCAGGCGGACATACAAAAGGCCGAGACATTCGGGCCAAATTTAACTGCTGTGCAGTCGCGCATGAGGATCCGCTGGCAATCTCTTACCGACTTTCCCTGCCCCTGGCCCAGGCCCAGGTCCCCCCCCAGTCAATTATGGTCTATGGACATTAAATGTCATTACGCAGCAACAATCAAAAAGAGACACAGGATCCGCAGCAGGGGCAGGGGCAGGAGCTGGGGATGGGGATGGCGAAGCCGAACAGGAAGTAGACAACGAGCCAAGCAAAGCATGAAATTAAAATGCGCCTAAGATGTATTCCTGTCTGTCATGGGCCGCCCTGCGAGTCCTGCCAAAGGAGTGGCTGCTTCTGGTTGTGCTTCTGCCTGTCGTTCTGCTTATAATTTCATTTTTCACACCCAACTCTCATTGACAAAAGTGTGAAGCGCAGGACACGGGGAGACGGACGTTCTTGGCTTCCTGCCTTTGCCATACACTTGCCAACAAAAACTGCTGCAGGAGCGAAAGGAGGCATAGCCGATGGTGAGTACAGATGATTATAGATATCCCAAGTTTTCGTTTCTTATAAGCAGGACTACCAATTATTATATGAAGCCTTTTTCTATGCTTTTTGAATGATATTTCTATACAAATCTTTCAAAATTTACAACAAATATGGAGGAATTTTTCGGAATACTGAAAGAAGAAATATTTATATAAATACCTGAAATAACATCCTCTATTGGGCAAAGGGTATTTCAAATTCCCTTTTATTTCTCTTCTGTAAATTATATTCTATCTCTTGTATTCTTTTTTGGGAGCCATGCCAAAGCGATAATAATAATAAAATAAAATGATGAAAATGCCGGCAGCTATGGAGCACCAACTGGGCTAAGAGCAGGGGGGGAGGTCGCAGCAGGGGAATGGCACAAAGAAAGACAATTCTTGGCAAAGCTTATTAAATTTATATTTAAATTTTGCTGTATTGTGGTTGCGGTGTGGGGGGTGCCCTGGGAACGGGCATCGAAAAATTTAATTAATTTCCAAAACAAAAATTGAATTCTCGCTTCATTTGAAATGCAAAACCGAAAGCGGAGTCAATTAAATGAATGTCAAAGAGCAGCCGCTGAGCATTCGCAATGGCGCCCCACCCCAGTCCCGACTGAGGCACCCACTGGCTCGTGTTGGTGTCCTGAACCTGGTCCTGCCTCAACAATTCCTTTGACACACAAACACACACACTCACTCGCATGTCCCACAAGGAGCTGCTGGGGCTACCGTGTCCTGTCCTATGGCTGCCCCATCCGGGTGGTGTCCCTCTGTGGCTGTTGCTGCTGTTGCTGTCTTTATGGCAGTCGCCTCCTGTGGCCGCGTCCTTCGTTATTGTAGCCATGGAAATGAATATTAATGCCGCCTGGATTCTGACAGTCGATGCTGGAGCTGGAGCAGGACCAGGACGAGGACCAAGCGAGGAGACAGCAGCAAAGTCCTTTGCCCACAATGGCTCAGTGCGCACTTTGCACAGCATTAATATTTATCAGCCCGAATTCAGAGTTGCTGTTGATACGAAGCACTTCTCGGCAGCCCCTGCCCCGCCCCACTGTACCGTCCGGTGCTCTTCTTCTCGGGTGGAACAACATATTTTGCATACCCTTTGTCCTTTGTCTATAATATTTCAATAAGCGAATGAATGCGAATCAAGGTGGAAGGTATCCGTGTGGCATGCGAAAAGTAAACGCAAATGCAAGAAAAATACCCCAAGAATGCAATCAAATGAATGCTCACTGGATTCATTTACTTTTTCAATTAAACGATCAGCGATAGCGGCAATTACCGGCCCATCTATCAGATACATCTATCTAGCCAGAAGATGCATTTAAAAAATATCAGAAAATAATTTATATCGTTCCACATTAAATTCATTTAATCTTTTTCGCTCTCCTCAGATTTATGGAATCCCCACTGAATTTCCGCCGCATATGCCGCGAAGAATATTTAAACAAAATACAAAAATTATTGATGCTTTAAAGAATTTATTGACCGCTAATGAAGCCTGCCCCACAGATCAAAAGTCTATTAATAAATCCCCATAACAATGCGAAAATTTAAAGAGAATTTCAGGGATTTATAGGTGGACCGATTTTTATTTTGATTTTGTGATTCGGATTGGGGATTGGGGGCAAAAAATTGTTTCAGCAGATTTAAATGCACAGTTCGTTGTCGGCTTTGTCAGGGCAAGCAAAAAATCTGTATAATCCGGGAGCTCTCGACATCGGCATCGGCTATCATTAAGTGACACTCTCTTCTGACCTATCAGTCTCCTCCTCCTCTCCCTGCTGCTCCCCCCAGGTCATACAGCATCCTTCAACGCTTGGGGGGGACTCGACTCGACTCGACGGTCTCCCTCGCTTTATATTGGGCCATTATCAAGAGTAATGAAATTTACTTGTACGCGAAATAAAATTATATCATTAACACCTGAAGCGTGCGGAGTTACACACACATATATATGTGTATGTGTACACTCATAGGTGTCCTGTTGATGGCCGTGTCCTTCCTGCACCCAGCTCGTGGCACTGTGGACTGTGCACATATTTACACAGGCGTCGCGACGCCTTTCCATAACATTTAAAACACACACTGGAAAAACTGGAAAAAACGAGTGGCAGGAAGTCGCAGGTGGAGTCCGGGTGGAGTGCGCGTCTCGATTGTTCCTCGAATAATGCAATTTGTTAACATTGGCTATACCGTGTTAATAAGGCCCCAGCCACGAGAGGGTTAAGGCCTCCACCTCCTCCTCCTTGTCGGAGATCCGTCCATTGACATTGCACTTTAAAACTTGGCCGCACATTGAACTTGGCTCTGGCTCTGGGTCTGGTTCTGGCTTTGGGTCTGGCGATGGATTTATTCCGTGTCAAGCGTCAGTGAGCCCCGCCCCGGCCCTCAGCCCCTCAGCGCCTGGACGCCCTGCAAAGGAACTTAATTAATTAGCTGCCTAAACTTCGTTGTGAAGTTTCCTTTCGGCCACAATCTGATTTCTTTTCAGATTTTTGCACAGCACCAAACCAACAGCTGGTCGGGGCCCCGGTCCCGGTCCCAGTCCGAGCCAAGCCAACAAAAACAACTCCAAGCCAGGCCAAAAGGAACTTTGCCTGTAGTTGTACTACCTTCAGTGGTTCTTTATAGGGTATTGGAAGGGCCTGATGGGCTAAGAAAATATCTAGAAAATTATAGAAATTATCCGATAGATATTGTGTGCTAGGGAGGGTTTTCTACAACTCAAAATATTGAGGTTTCAGCCACAGAAGGCCACAGAACTATTTCGATTCAGTCTGTACTTATATGTTTCTTCAGCCTAAGGAGTATCTGGAGAGTCATATAGTACCATATTGAGTATCTTTATTGATTCTCCTCTCCCTGGCCTTCCCTGAGCTTTCCCCCAACCCATCTTAAGATGTCTATACCTGTTCTCTTCTGGAGAATATAGATTTCACTGGGTACCTACCGATCGACCCTTTGTTTGGGGCCATCCCTTCTACTTGTTACTGTTTTTCTTTGGGATTTTCGGCTCGGTTTTTGCCTGTTAAGTGCAGGACCTGAGCCGGAGTCGGACGGGGCTTTTGTGTTTTAGTTTTCCAGCTGCAAGCCGGACACAGATGCGGCCCAATGAGGAATCGAGGAGAAGAGGAGGGACTGGGGAAAGGCAGGATGAAAGCGGCTACAGCTGAGCCCTGACCGCAATCGCATTGTGGCATTGTCCACATCGATGTTGTCGCCCTTTATTTTTGTTACCGGTTCGGTTCCTTTTTTTATGCCCAGCTTAATGGTCTGCAAAAAGTAAACCGGAGACTCGGAGGGAGATGAATTGATTTTTACTTTTGCTTTGCGATCTCTGACATCCGCAAAAACTGAAAACCGAAAACCGAAAACTTAACACAAATCCCTGCCAAATGAAAGCCAAAGCTGACAAACTTCCAGGGAACTTCCAGGCCATTCAGTGAAATTAAATTTTAGTTATTAAATCATCAATTCAATCACACAATTAGAAAAGTTGTCAGCTCCAAAGTTTGGAGCTCCAGCCAGCCACAAAAACTTGCTGACTTGCTGGCATATGTGCAAAAGCCAGGACCCTGCACCCACCCCCCCAGGACCCCCCTTACCCCTTTCTCAAGTGACAGAAAACTTTGCAGTGAGCGAACATTTAACAAAAATATATTTCTTAGTTAAAAACTCAATTTGTTTCGGGAATAACTCACTTTGTGGCTTTCGAGTACAGTTCCAAGTTTACAGCGTTTTATGTGAGTTTTATGGATATTAGTACTGTATGACAGACATGCGACTGACAAGAGCTGACTGCTGCGGTCACTGCTGCCCCCCGTCCGCCCTCTGCTTTTGCTCTCAATTGATTTCAATTTCATTAACGCTTCAACTTGGTCTGTGACCTCCTCTCTCCTGCTTCTTTTCGTACAGTGACAGTCCCTCTGTTTGGCTGACAGACAGCTGTTGCCAATTTCGGTTTTTGTCTGACTTCTGGGCCCCCGTGAAACTTGGCAGCTGTTAATGACAATGACAGGAGCAGGACATGGCCAATGGTCTGTTTATACGAACAAAAGAACTCAGTAATCAGGGTGTTAATGTTTAATCTGTTTAAAGATGAAGTGGTCTTTAAGTTTAAGCTAAAACCAATGAGAGTAAGGCATAAATTTAAGAGATTTTTAATGTGGCATTATTTCTATTAGAATAAAGAAACCAAAGCATATTTCTATGAAGTTATTAAACATCTATCTATGTCTTTTTATAGGTTGTCCTTTACTCGAAAGCAAATTATATGCATTCAATGCATAGTCCAATCCATCTCCCACCTACGATTAGCTTTATTTGAAAATTCCAAACCAGACAGCATTCTGAAAAGTCCTGCTGCAATTGATGAGAATTGCCTCCTAGCAACTAATGAAAATAGCAGAAATTTCTAGTTGATTTCATTGCTTTCCTTTCCTTTGCTCTCCTTTGCGGAACAGATGGTGGACGGCAGGACTGAACGTATCCTGGCCAGCAGGAGCAGCAGCAGCAGCAGCAGCGCCTGGGCATGATTTTCAATTTGTGATCTTAATCAGCAGGTGTCCTCTATGGCTTGCTCTCTCACTTATTTCTTTCTCTGTCCCTCTCTCCTTCTGTGGTTGCCTATCAACGGCGTCGTCATCGTCATCAGCCTCGTCATAGCTTTTTATTATTTTCATTCTGGCCTCGACTGCCTACTAATAGTTGATGTTTCTGTGCTGCTCCCTGCTCCCTGCTCCTGCTGTTGCTCGTGGCATCCCCTTGATGTTGCTGTTGCTTTTGTTGAAAGGTTGCTAGGCATTAACTTTTGTCATTGGGAGCGGAGCAGCCGCCCCTCGCCTCTGTGTGCCCCGGTCAGTGAACAATGCAATGTGAATTGGCAGGGACAGGCACTCCCCAGTGCTCTCCAGTGCTCCCCCCGACTCGGAGGCCAGAGTGGCTGGCAGTCTGGCAGGCAGACAGACGAGTGGCAGGACCTCTGGTCT